CTGGGAACAGTGCCTTGGTCAGGATCTTGATTCCTGGGTAGCTGCTGAGCGCCCCTCCCCCGCCCTCTGACTCACTGTCTGACACTTTTCTTGGACTGTTTTCACTATCTTTCATTCCTGTTTCTGAGTTGGCCTCTCCTTGTCTCTGGTTCAGTCTTTTTGTCCCATCCCCTGCCTCTGCCTCCGGATTCCCAGGTGGAACAGAAGAACACGAAATCCAGGTTCTCTTCTTTCCCCATCTCCCAAGAAGTATCAGGCAGGATATAATTTCTCATTTAATTTGAGGTCTGCAGATCCTGCTAGGAATTTACCACTAGAACCTGCTAGAAGCTTCCTTGTGTCTCTGTTTCCTTGTCTGCAGCCTTGGAAGTTTTAACCTCCTTACCTTAAGTTCCCAGTTTTTTGACATCTCAAAGGCACACTTACGGTATCTGGCTTGAACCTACTTCCTTGACTTCTCTTGGGAGAACCAGAAGCCTCCTGAGACGCTGACATTGGCACTTAATAGCCTGAACTTGCCTCTCCCACTCTTAGAGCCACCCCTTTCTAGCACCACTCATGTTCAAACCCTCTGGCACAGACTGAGGGATGAGCATATGGCCCCCTCCTCGAATTAACTGGAACCAGAGCAGGAGAAGTTCACAGTGTCCAGTCATTCCCAGAGACTTCATGTTGTCTCTGTGTTGATACATGATACTTGCCACCCTCCTCTGAGGTTCATTGAGTGCCTTCTTTATGCCAGACTCTGGCCTGGGTGCTGGGCACAACTGGACATAGTGAGGGCCAAACAGAGGTGCTGGGAGCCTGGCCAGAGGGAGACTGTCATGAAGCATTTGTAGTATGGTGTGATAGGGCTGTGATGGGAGAATCCCAGGACCCAGTGGGAGGTCAGAGTGGCATCTAGTGGGGGAGGAGGGTGCCCTGCAGAGAGGTCCTCTTGCAGATGACTTCTGAAGGACCAGTAAACAAACAAACAAAAAAACCCTGTTGTAATCAAGTCAATTGTTACTCATAGTGACCCTATATAACTGCCCCAGAGTCTTTTCGAGGCTGTAATCATTACAGAAACAAACTATGTGGGTTCGAACTGCTGACCTATCAAAGGTTAGCAGCTGAGAGCTTTTAACTACTGCACCCCCAGGGCTACTTGAAGGGCCAGTAGAGGTTTGTTTTTGTGAGGGATGAGGCTAGGATATACTTGTTGTTGTTGTTATGTGCCGTTGAGTCGCACCCGACTCATAGCAACCCCTCCTTGGGTTTCCGAGGCAGTATCACTACGGAAGTAGATTGCCCCATCTTCCTTCCGAGGAGTGGCTGGTGGGTTTGAACCACCAGCCTTCTGCTTAGCAGTCAAGTGCCTTAGCCACTGTGGGATATACTAGGCGTAGGAAAAAGGTTGTGGAAAAGCCAGGAGGTGAGTGGAAGTTATGAGAAAGTAAGCTCAGCTAAAAAAAAAAAGCAACCCACTGCCATCAAGTTGATTTCGACTCATAGTGACCCCCATTGGGTTTCCGAGGAAGTTAATTTTTATAGAAGTAGTTTTTATAGAAGTAGTTTGTCGTGTCTTCCTTCCACAGAGTGGCTGGTGGGATTGAACTGCCAGCCTTCTGGTTAGCAGTTAAATGCCCTAGGCACTACCCACCAGAGCTCCTTGTAAGCTCAGCTAGACTATAGGATAAGGGAGGGGTGGAGAAGTCTTACATGATGAGGCAGGGGCCAGGCCTGCTTCAGCCTCTTGCAGAATTCTGAACTTAATCCTAATAGCAGTGAAGAATTATGGAGTGGTTCTATGCCTAGAGGTGGCAGGTGTTGTTGTTGTTGTTACGTGCCATCGAGTCGGACCTGACTCATAGCGACCCCTCCTTGGGTTTCCGAGGCAGTATCACTACGGAAGTAGATTGCCCCATCTTCCTTCTGAGGAGTGGCTGGTGGATTTGAACCGCCAGCCTTCTGGTTAGCAGTCAAGTGCCTTAGGCACTATGCTACCAGAGCTCCCAGAGGTGGCAGATAGTAGTTTAATAATATTCTGGCTGCAGGGTGAAAACTGGCTTAGGGGAGAGGGCAGGGACGGGGCAGAGAACATAGTAGTATCAGGGACAGAAGCATGATAAGGGTAATAAACTTTGCAAATTGAAGGTGACATACATAAAATGCATGAAGTATGCTAATCTTAAGTGTATAGCTAGATGAATTTTTACAATTTTATACATCCATATAAATACCACCCAGGTTAATATAGAACATTTCGAGTCCCTGGAAGATTCTCTCATGACTCTCCCCAGTGTATGCCTCTCCATGTCCTGGGTGACACTGTTCTGACTTGTATGATCACCAGTTGATTTTGCCTTTTGATGAACTTTGTTCAAATATATTCTTGTGTCTAGCTGCTTTCACTCAAAGTGGTATCTGTGAGGGCCATTCGTGCTGTCTGTATCCAGGAGCTCATTCTTTTTTTTTTTTTCTTTTTATTTATACAATGTAGAATCACACTAACATTCGCTGAGCGCTTACTGCTATCCTGAAACTTTACATACATTGACTTATGTAAACTTCCCGACCCTGTGAGGTTTTAAGACAAAGAACTGGAGATACAGAGAGGTTAAGTAACTTGCCCAGGATCACCCAGCTGATTAGGAGCCAAACCAGGGATCAAACTCAGGCAGTGCACTGGAGCCAGCATTCTTAGCACTATGTTGTGTGGTGTCCATGATATTTCCTGAGCTGTGCCTGGCTTGTGTGGATTGAATTAGCTAATAATGTGTACTTCAGGCACTGGATGGCTGAATGCAGATGGAAGGAGAGGGAGGAAGGGGTTGAGGATGACTGCAGGTTTCTGGCTTGAGTAACTGGGTGGGTGGTGGTGCTGTTACTAAGATAGGGAACACAGGAAGAGGGACAGATGGCATGGGGGGTGGGGAATGGAGATGATGGGTTCGATTTGGGGCCTGTGGAATTTTCTGTTTCTAGGGGACAACCAGGTGCAGAATACTGCGTAGGCATTTGGTTCTAGGGATCTTGGGCGGCGGGGGGGGGGGGGGGGGTTGTTCAGCATTCAGCACCCTGTAGATAGCATCTGGAGCGTGGGAAAGGCTGGGGTCTTCCAGCCAGCATATGGTAAGGGACAGCTTGCATAGACATTGTTTGTCCCTGTGTGTTTATGTCTGAGTGTCTTTAGCCTGTCTGCACACACACGTGTGTGTATGTGTACGTATGCACCTACACCCCATTTGGGTCCTGAGTTCCCATCTCCTGGGAGAGCCTGTAGGTCAGCTGGGAGCTGGGTTGTTTTTGTTTGTGGTTTGACCCTGGTGGGGGGGCATGTCAAGACTGAGAAACAACCCACTGAGAAGCCCCCGGAAGCACCTGTGTGTCCTATTCCCCTAGGCCCTGGGTGGGGGTTTGGCAAGGGAGGGGGAGCTTCTCTCGCTGCTCATGCTGGCCTGGAGGAAGGCTGCAGTCGATTGACAGCACACCTCTAGGATCCAGGTTGGGGACTTCTTGGGGGGCTAAGGAAAGGGGTGTTTGGAAGAGGTACCTGAGCAGGGGGAGGCCAAGACAGCCTTCTGGTTGGTTTTTCCTGTACTCTGTCATTTCCTGTGATGGCCTTGATGGGGGAAGGGCTCCCCAGCCCTGGGGCCTCTCTCTGCTTGTTTCCCCTTCTTCCTGGTGACCTCCCAGGGGCCTGTCCCTTTGTGTGGCAGGACAGCGCAACAGACAAGGTAGTTGTACTCAAGACCATGGCAGTGAATCCCTTGGCTATGTCCCTCCTCCAAGCACTGCCAAGGGGCTGTTATTTATTGTGGCATTTAGGAGAAGGAGCCCCAAGTCCCCTCCACACAAATGAGGCTGCCAGGCTGTGGGAGCCCCCTAACTGGCTATACTTCCTCAGGCCTGAGACCCTCACAAGGATGGTACGGTATTGTGTTCTGGGGCTCCAGGTTCCCAAGCTACAACCAAGATTGGTGTGGGACATTGTCTTAGATGATTAGTTTCTCTGGAAGATTTTTTGTTTTAAGGGGAAAAAAATAATTTTTCCATAGGAGGTTAATTCCAGCAAACAGGGTCAGATATTGGAGGAGAAGGCAGAATGTGTGTGAATTTTTAAGATCAAAGAGAGGACTTGAAAGAAACGCAGAGCTGGAGTGGCTCAGGGTCACATAGCATGCCTGGAGGCAGGGGACTTCTCTCCTGTGAGGTGGGGATTTCTGAAGGAAAGTCTGAGAAGCACCATGCTAGCCAGCAGAGGAAGAACTTGGGAAAGTCCTGACTCTGGGAATCGGGCTCAGGCCCAGGGTCAGCATCAAAGCCAGCATCGTTCCCAGGGTGCCCCGGTCAGCCTGGCCTGGTGTGAGCGCCTGTGGGTCTGTGTGTGCATGGCAGTGTGTCTGTGTGGGTGTTCAGGAGTAAGGGAGGAGGAAGCAGAGACTGTGAGGCTGTGCAGACCGTAGGCGCGCAGACAGCCACACTCACACACACACACACAAATGCACACAGATGCGAGCGGGTGTGAATCACCCAGCCGGTGAGTCAGCCCCCAGGATTCCTGTTGGGGAACAAGGGAGGCCAGGCAGAGGTCTGTCAGCCCATCTGTCTGTCTGTTTCCTGCCTTTGCTGGCCGTGCCTGTTAGCGTGTGTGTTGTGTGTGTGTGCAGGTGGGTTATAGGAGAGAGTGGGGAAGGTGCCTGGTGGGTTCCTGCGTAGAATTTTGAGCAGAGGTGGCAGTGCTTTGGAAATACCAGGACTTGAGTTTGGAGGAAGGGCAATGCTGTGTCTTGGGCAAAGAAGTGTCCTAGAGGCCATACCCATGACAAGTGGGTGCTGAAGGGCTAGAGGAGGGTGTGGGTGACCTTGGAGGGTAACATGGATAAATGAAGATGGCTGAGAGCCCACCTTCTGCCCTCATCCCATGCCTGCTGCTGCTGCTGGCTTGCCGCTTAGAGCTTTCTTGTTCCCCATTCCAGGCTGCCTGTCCCCAGACCCTAGAGCACCCTTGTGCCACCATGACCGGGCTGCTGAAGAGGAAATTTGACCAGCTGGATGAAGACTCCTCCTCCTCCTCCTCTTCTGGATGCCACTCTCGCTCCTGCTCCCCAAGCTCTTCAGCCTCCCCCGCCTGGGACTCAGATGAGGAATGCCCCTGGGATCAGATACCCCTGCCTCACCGTGACTTCCGTGACTCTCAGAATTTCACTCGTGAGTCTTCCTTGCCATGGCCTATTACGGGGACCCTACCACACACCCCACCTGAGAGATGGAGTTGGGAGGCCCTTGATCAAGGCATTCCAGCTCCTGGGTGTCCTGACCCCAGAGCTGTAGCTCCTGTGCTTGCCTCCCGCCTCTGCACTTCCTAGAATACAGCAGTCACTCAGAAATGCTCTCTGTCCGGAGCTCTTGGGGCCCAGCATGATTCACTTTTAACCTTGGAACTCCCTGCTTGGAAGTAATGACACACAGAATGGAGCTCCTTAGAGTGTCCCTGAAGGGTCCTCCCACCCTGGCTCCTCCCTTCTATTCCAGTTTCGTTTCTCTAGCCTGCTCCCTACACTCCTACAAACCTAACTGCTGGAATTCCACACCCCATATTCCCTGCCTTGGGCCTATCAAGCCAGTCTCTCTCTAGTCAAAGTGCTATTCAACTTTCTCTACAAAGAGTGAAAAAAGGGTTTTCTCTCAGTTATTTTCCATCTTGCATAATTCTGATTTCAAACTGACAAGAATACCCTAGAGCAGTATTTCTCAACCTTGTGTTTCATTATCATCCCTTTCTGACACTTAGAAACTTAGACACTTAGACACTTTTCCTAATCACTCTGATAAACATTTAACACAGATATGCTGTGTATTTATGTACTGTATGTATATCTGTACTTCACATGTTAAAACAAACATGATTTTTTTTTGCTCCCCAAGAGCCAATTTTTGCATCTGTTGAATGCATGCCCTAAAACAAGCCAACATAAAAACTGTAGCCATTCTAGTTTAAAAATACAGATACAAAAGTCATAAATGCAGCCTTAGCACATAGAGTTGAACACGTAGATTAGCATGTAATACTTTAACTGAACTACTACTATCAGTTTATTTTGGACATACCGGGATAGTAGGAAATCAGTTATCAGTTACCAAGTGACTGTTGCAGACGAGGAAAAATGATGAGAGCTGCTATAATGCAAAAAGGATATTTGATAAAATGTACTATTCTTTCTAGATAAAACCCTTGGAGAGACAGGTTAAGTAAATTCTACCTGATGACTTTTTGAAAACATGTCTTAACCCCAAAACTGACATTATGATTGAGGAAATACTGGAAGCATTCCCACTAGGTCAGGAACAAGACCAGGATGCTGTCACCACTGCTAGTTAACATTGCTTTGAAAGTGCTAGCCAACTCAGTTAGTAGAGACATAAGAATTATATGTACCGGATTGAGGCAGGCTAAATTGCCATTATTTGCAGATGGTTGCCTAGCTAATAAATGCAAGAAAATAAGCAGAAACACTTATTTTGTTTCTTTAATTTTTACTGTGATTTGGGTGAAAGTTTACAGAGAAAATTCATTTTCCATACAACAGTTCATACACATTTTGTCTCATGACATTGACTGCAATTCCCCAAAGTGTAACAGCTTTCTTCCCACTTCTTCACCATAATTATTTCTTCCCTGTGTCCTTCCCTCCCACACACTCCCCGCTCCCTGAGCTGTCTCCCTGTGTAGACACTGCCCTTCTGTTCTCCCATGATTGATCGCTCCAAGTAGTATATCTACCTGATGTAAATGCTCAGCCCACATGCAAGCAGAAACACTTTTATAAGAGAATTCACTCAGGTAGTTGGGTACAAAAGATCATATATAAAGAGCTTCTATAAATCAATTTAAAAAAACTATGTAAAAGAGACCTATAAATAGCTAATAAAGAAAGATGCTTAATCTTACAAACATTCTTGATTGAACTGGTAAACAGTAAGCCAATATGGACGTGAGTGTTGTGTTCAGTTTTATCAACACCAGTGCCAGTCATGATGTTGTTGTTATTATGTGCTGTCGAGTCATCTCCGACTCATAGCAGCCCCTCCTTGGGTTTCCAAAGCAGTATCACTAGAGAAGTAGATTGCCCAGTCTTCCTTCTGAGGAGTGGCTGGTGGGTTTGAACCACCAACTTCCTGGTTACCAGTCAAGTGCCTTAGGCACTACGCTACCAGAGCTCCTAGTGCTGGGTCCTAAATTCTGATCTTTTTTTTTTCCCAGTGTGGGACAGTGTGTATGTAAGAAGAGATTCAGGATGCTCTTCTAGGAGATTATGTTGTGCCTCACAGAGAACTAATCCCCGCCCCTTCCCTACCTGTCTTCCAGCCCTGTCCATCTTGAAGCGGGCTCCTCGGGCACGCCCAGGCCGCGTTGCCTTTGACGGCATCACTGTCTTCTACTTCCCTCGGTGCCAGGGCTTCACCAGCGTGCCCAGCTGTGGTGGCTGCACGCTGGGCATGGCCCCTCGCCACAGTGCCTGCCGCCACTTCTCCTTGGCTGAGTTCGCACAGGAGCAGGCCCTGGCACGGCGAGAGAAGCTCCGCCTCCGCTTGAAGGAGGAAAAGCTGGAGATGATCAGATGGAAGGTAGGGACCCCTCTCTGTGTCCTGTCCTCAGTCAGCTTCTGGGGTCCTAGCCTTTCAGGGAGGGGTGGCCTCAGGGAGAGTTAACAAGGTTGGGTGCCAAGTTGCTCACTGTATATTTGGGGAACCAGGCCCATGGGGTCCAGTGATTGACTAGATTGGGGTTTGTTGCCTGGATTATCTGTGGCAGAGCAGCAGCATCGTGTTTGCTACAAGGGCTGCGGGCATGGTACCTGATTGCTGTATTGGGGGGAGGGGTGTGGTGTTGATGTGACATTGAGGGTCTGTATCTGCCTGGCTAGGGGTAGGAGTTTGTCTGTCAACTGGAGATTGACATGAACAGAAGAGCTGTTTGCACATGCCCTGAGAGCAGTGTCCTTGGCTGTTGTGTTCACTGTTGTGTCCACAGTGCCCAGCACAGAGGAAACACTTGGAGAATGCTGATTGAGTGTCTGATGGTTATGGGAACCGAGTGCCCATGCGTGAGCCTCATGACCCTCCTCTCTCTCATGGGTGCAGCTCTCAGCAGCCGGGGGACCCGAGGCAGAGGCAGGTCCGCCGCTCACAGTGGATGCCATTGATGATGTGTCTGTGGAGGAGGACTTGGCAGTGGCCATCGCAAGTGGCCAGTTGGAAGAAGGGACCTTCCTCCAGCCCTACCCAGCCAGGCGCCGGCGGGCCCTGCTGCGGGCCGCAGGCGTGCGGAGGATTGATCGCGAGGAGAAGCGGGAGCTGCAGGCTCTTCGCCGATCCCGGGAGGACTGTGGCTGTCGCTGCGACAAGGTCTGTGACCCTGAGACCTGCAGCTGCAGCCTGGCAGGCATCAAGTGCCAGGTATGGGGGCTGGACTAGGCTGGGAGGGGGTTGTGTCAGTAGCCTGAACCTTGGCGCTTCTCTGGGCTCTGCAGAATCCTTACTTGTATCTCTCCTTCTCTGCAGATGGACCACACAGCATTCCCCTGTGGCTGCTGCAAGGAGGGTTGTGAGAACCCCAAGGGCCGGGTGGAATTTAATCAGGCACGAGTTCAGACCCACTTCATCCATACACTCACCCGCCTACAGCTGGAGCAGGGAGCCGAGGGCCTTGTACAGTTGGAGGCCCCTGCCCAGGTCAGCACCCCCAGCCCTGGCGAGCAGGCCCTGGCCCCCGTGTTTCCACTGGCCAAGCCCCCCATGAGCAGCGAACTGGGTGACAACAGCTGCAACAGTGACATGACTGATTCCTCCATAGCATCCTCCCCAGTGTCAGGCACCAGTGAGGCCCCTAGTGGCCCTGCCCACTCAGCTCTGCCTGGCCTGGCCTTCCAGCTTGGTGTGGATGATGACAACCTAGTGCAGATCCTGAGTTTCAGTGACTCTGACCTTGGCAGGGAGGAGGAGGAGGAGGAAGAAGAGAAGGAAGGAGGCATGGAAAGCCTGGACAACCTCAGCTGCTTCCACCCAGCTGACATCTTTGGTACCTGTGACCCTGGTGGCCTGGCCAGCTGGACCAACAGCTATTCCAGCTCTAGCCTCACATTGAGCGTCCTGGATGAAAATGCCAACCTGGATGCCAGCTGTTTCCTGAACAGTGGCCCTGAAGGGTCAAAAGAAGCTAGCCTCCCTGGGACCTCAGGGCCGGCCAGTGTGGATGTTGGCCAGAGCAGCTCGGTGGACCTGAGCTTGTCTTCCTGCGACTCCTTTGAGCTGCTCCAGGCCCTGCCAGACTATAGTCTGGGACCCCTCTATACCTCCCGGAAGGTGTCTGATGGCCTGGACACCCTTGAGGCACCATTTTTCCCCTTGCCTGGCTTCTCTCCACCCAGAGACACAGGCACTTGTTTCCTGGAGTCCATCATGGGCTTTTCTGAGCCAGCTGAGGAGGCCCTCACTCCCTTTATTGACAACCAATTGTTTGAGGACACTGCTCCGGCATCTCTGATGGAGCCAGTGCCTGTGTAAGGATGCGGAGGTCTTTTCCTGGCCCTCAGAGCCCTGCTGCTGCTTTTTTGTAACTTGGGGGTTCCCAAGGGCCTATATGTAATGGTCTGTGGACACTCCTGGTTTTTGTGCAACACTCTGGATTTATTTATTTATTTTTTTAACTCTGTGTTGAGGAGCAGGGTGTGAATAGGGACATCCCTTTCCGGCCACCCTGCTCCCGCCGCCCACCCACACAGTACTCTTCCAATTGCCAGAATGCGTGCCAGGAAGAGGAGACGAACTGGCTCCCCTGGAGCTTTACAGACCCCTTTTTGTCTTTGTATGATGTTTCTTCACCCAAAGACAGTAAGACAGGGCTAGAATTGGCCACTTGGGGCTTCTCCAGCTGCCCTGAGCCCTAGACCCATCGATGGGTGGCCAAATCTTCTGGACTGTGAAGACTGTAATTTATTTCTGTAATTTATTTGGAGATGGAAGCAGTGTTGGCCTCTCCTCTGGCTGGTGGGTCAACTGGGATCAGTATGGGGTTCAGACCCTGTGAGTCCCTTTTGCATCATAGACCTGCAACCCATGCCTGGCCCTGCAGGCTGAGTCCTGGGTGCCCTAGGCTTTGGTGTAAACCAAGTGTGGATTTGAGCCCGATGATGGGCTCTGTCAGCAGCTTGGTTCCTGGATGGCTGAGCAGGCAGGACTGGCCAGGGACAGCCTGGACCAGGGAAGGGGCTGAGCTGACCATCTGTGACCAAAACCCTCTCCTGTCCTGCACAGGCCCTCTGCTTTCTGTGCTCTGCCCAGCCTGCCTTCCTAAAGGCCTTTATTCCAGCTCCATTGATGTTGGAGGGGAAAGCAGGAGGCCCAGAGAGGACAAGGGGCTTGCCTCAGGACACACAGCATGCCCCTGACTACTATCTCAGGACTTTCTGGGTACTACACTCCAGTCTGAGCCACTTGCCCATACCCTGAAGCCACTTGGCCAGGTGAGGGGTGGCTCCTTAGGGTTTTTATGGCCTTCGCTCATGTTGAATTTTGCATCATAATTTCTATATTCTCCCTAAGTATTAGAACTATAATTTATTCATTTTTCTCTGTATCTGTGCCAAGAAGCCCAGGCTCTGGGCCTGCCCCATCACCTCCTCCCCTACCCCTTTGCCCAGGAAGCCTCACCAGGCTGTATGCTTGTGGAAACACCTTGTATCTGAACTTAACAGGTACCAGTAAAGAGGCTGTATTTTTAACAATGTGGTCTGCTGTTTGTGGGATGGGGAGCATGAGTACTCCCTCTGGAGGCAGTAGGGAGAAAAGGGGGAGATAGGCCCTGCAGGGCAGTGTGGACACACAGGCCCCTGAGGTGGGAGTGGCAGTGGGCGACACACCACATTTGGCTTGTTCCATGCCAGTCATCTTGGAGGCAGGAGGCCAGCTGAGAGAGGCTGGCCAGGCAGATGGAGCAGTTTTCCCTTTTGGGGTGGGGTGGGGGGTGGGGGTGGGGAAGCTGTCCCCTTTATGATTAACCCATTCCTCTCCAGCTGTGGCCTGGGGGGTGGGGATTAGCAGCAAGGCAATCTCCTGGGATGGGTGAGGGCTCTGTCCTTCCTATTCACCCACACTGAGCTGGGGCCTGGCCCTGAGGGTGAAGTGACCCACCCCGGGTGGGGTGAGGGCAGGCAGTAGGATGTGGCTGGTGGAGGCCTGGCACTGGACTCAGCAGCTGTGCTCCCTGGGGACCTGAGCACCAGAAGCTGCAAAACCTCATCCATCTGTACCAGCCAGACTAGTCTGACCTGTCCCTGACAGGCAGCCTGGCTACAGGCCAGCAGGAGCAGACACACCCCATTCTGGGGAGCCCCAGTGTGGGGGCCTGAGGAAGGTTGACCTTCCCCTTAGGAATAATGATGGGTTATGCAAGTGCTGGGAGCGGGGCAGGGGAACTTCTTGGAGGAGGATCAAAAAAAACATGATTTGGGTCCTCCTTCTTACTCATAATTTTCTGCCACTGTTGGGTACCCCTTACTTTCTCTCTATATGGAGGAGAGCCTCCCGGGCTGAGAACTTGGGATGAGATTGTCAGGTTCAAGTCCCAGCTCTTCCACTACCTAGTGAGATGGCTTAGCAAGTAAGTTACCCTCTGTGTGCCTGGCTCTAAATACTATGCAAACAACACTGCTCACCTCATGAGCTTGCTGAATCCTGGGTGCTCTGGTGGCATACTGCCTAAGGCACTTGACTGCTAACCAGAAGGCTGGTGGTTCAAACCCACCAGCCACTCCTTGCAAGGAAGGTTGGGTAGTCTACTTGTGTAGTGATAACTGCCTTGGAAACCCAACGAGGGGTCACTATGAGTCAGATCTGAATTGATGGCAGTGAGTTTGGTTTTTTGGGCACAGAGAAGGGTGCCTGGGACTTGCAAGCCCCAGGTGTGTATGTGTGACTTCTGTTTTCATGTTTCTGCTTTTTTTATATGTTTATCCTTTCTTTTGGCCCATCCTGTCACCTTTAGGCATCTGTCTCCTGCCTCTGGATATGACCACATAGTCAGTGGCCATTAGATGACTGGTGGCTGGAGTCTGGCCTATGGTGGGGCAGCCTGTCCTTATATCCACTTGGTCAGGGCCAGCCAGGGCTTAGGCTTCTCAGGGGTGGAGCACCATGGCACATGGCAGATGTTCTAGCTCCTTCCTCATTGGCCCCTAGGGACCCTTTTGTAAGAGATTGCTTCAGGATGTATGTATAAAACTTCTATCTCCCCAAGGGCTCTGGAGTCTCTAAGCAGCCTGGGGTTCCTGTGGCAGCCTCCAGCAGCTCCAGAGACCTGACTGGAAACCCCCATGTCTCCTACACCCCAAGGAAACAGCCCATGGCTGGACTAAGGCCTGCCTTCTCCCCTTCTTGGGCAAGTGAGTCATTGCTTGACTTTCTTTTTTGAGATCAAAGAAGACAACTTAGGTTTTACAGTGACAAAAAACATGATTAATGCACAATCCCTTTTCATACAACGCATTTTTCCACACATACAGCCCTGCCTGTTTAAACTACAGACCGACCTGCCTCTCAACACAACCCACCCCAAGAAACTGGGTTGTAAAACAGATCATAGTAAAGGGACTGGATTTTCCCATAGGAAGGATGATAGTAACTAGGGGAAGCGTTCCAGATCACTGACTCATACCAAGAAGCTGTGCACGTGACTAGCAGTATGTTATAAAAACAAGGCGAAGCAGCCATCAAGGACAACTCACTCGGTTCTCCAAGGGACCCTATCCATTCACTGTTCCCAAGCCTCAGTTGTTACGAAGACTGCTCTTGAAAAACTACCATATATCTACGTTCTACCCATACTCAGATTTTTCTTTAAATTGATGCTGCCAATATGCTTAAAAGTTAGACTCATCCTATGCAATAGTATCCATGAATTCATGAGCTTGTGCTAGTTATTTTTTTTCTATTCTACAAAAAAATGATATAAAAACATTGATATTAAACTTAAAAATATTTGCTCTATATCACTAGCAGGGATATATGCCATGATTTGTGAGTAACAGGTCTAGTCTAATTTCCTGCTGCATATGGACACACTGAGACCCAGAGGGGCAAGTCACACTGGCAGATCCTAGCCTTCCTGACTCCCAAGTTCAGAGATCCTTCCCCCAAGACCAGGCTAGCCCTATTACTGTTATCCTGAAAAATAGGGAGAGAGGTATTGGAAGCACAGCGAAGGTAACCTCTGTCACCCCTTTGCCAGCTACAATGAACATTATCCATCTACATAGAGACCGCTGTGTTTGCCCCCTTAGGTGGTAAAGGGATTTCTGGAGGATGAATTCGTCCGCTTGTGTCTTTTACAAAAGCTGAAGTGGCGATTACTTTTCCTTGGAATGTATTTCCCTGCATCAGGCAAGTGTAATCAGGTTCGCACAAAACCAGTGAGGACCAGCGGCAGTCAGCTGAAGACCTGAGGGCGGGAGGAGACAATGCATGGAGGGTGGGGCAATAGCCCTTGCAACCTGCCGGGTGATGGGCACTTTCACACAGGGCCCAGCTACGGGGCTTCTTGCAGCTGGTCCTCCTTGTCTGGGCCCATTGCCCACAGCATCCTGGGCCCACTGCCAGGGAGGACAGCCTGGTGGGGAGGAGCAGTTGCTTCTTTAGCTCCAGAATGCTGGGACCAGACAGAAGAGGAGAGGCATTTATGGGCTGATGTAACAGTTTTAAAATAGGTATAGGTTTGTGTTTTTTAAAACTATCAGTCCACTGGGAGCCCCCTCTTTCTTCTCTCTCACAGAGTCTGGGATAAATGTGAAAATGTAGCCTATCAGAATGTGCCCAGTAAGCCCAGCAGAAACAAAGCTGGTTGATTTCTTTCTCCCCCAGAGCAAAATTACTTCTTGTTCCTTTAAAACATAAAGCCTTGGGATGCCCCTTAGTCCAGAAGAGGCATGATTCAAAATAAACCACATGCAACACAGATACGGGAAAGAATATGTCATTTTCTAAATCCTTTCCACAGCCCTCATCTCCCACCCCCTCTGTGACACTTCTGTAGGTTGACTGCCTCCACCCAGGCCTCCATGACCTCCAGAGGCTGGTGGACTGCTTGGCCACTGACCATTGCTAGGGCCTCAAGGATCCTTGGGCCTTTTCCAAAATTTCCTCTCTGATCTTGGGGTAGTTGGGGTACTCTCTGAGAACCTGGGACAAGGAGAGAGCAGGTGTGCAGCATCAGTAGAGTTCCCAGCTAATATCCTCCTCAAGCCCTCCCCAGCCAGTGTCAGTGGCTTCTTACACTGTGGCAGACTTCAATGGCCTCCACGAATCTCTTGTCTTTCAGGTAGTTGAAAGCGAGTTTGAAGCCTGTCCAAAGGTGAGAAGAACAGAAACAGTAACTCCCTAATGACATGTAAACCCCTCTGCTTCCCAGGGCAGCAGGGGTACAGCCCCCGAGCTCTGGGGTCAGTTAGGGTCTTGGTGTCCACCTTCCACACCTACCCATGAGCACCTTGGTTGTCTCTCTTACCCACGGAAGGGTTGGCATGATGGCTGTACTTCCAGGCCAGCTCATAGTTGGTAGCTGCATCCTTGTAGGACTGTTCCTTCTCCATGATGAAGCCCATATATTCATAGGCCTTGCAGCAGGACTGCAAGGAAAGCCAGTCAGAGCCTCTGGGGAAGGGAAGCCATGACAAGTCCCCAGCAGCTCCAGCAATGGGGTGAGACGGGGCAGGGCAAGGAACAGGGGGTGAGCTGCCCTGAGTCAAACCAGTAAGGGTGCCCAAAAGCAACCCCCCCCACCTTTGCAAGAATTGGAGCTCCTGCTTGACCTTCTCAGCACCCGAACTGGTGTGCCTTTCTCTCAGCCACCCCACACATGCATGATCCCTTCCTATGCACCCCTCTTATCCTACCCCTTTTCTTCCTGATGTACTCTGACCAGGTAAACAACTCCTCAAGCCCTGCAAGTCCCTCAACAAAAGAATACGTCCCAGCTCTCTCCTCCATTTCCATTCCCCCCTGAGTGTGCCCTGCCACCAGGGCATCAACCATTGACTTGTCCTGATACTGGTGCTCACCATTCAGTTTGGCCCTGTTGCCCTTCCTACTTGCCTCTTGCAGCCCTGTTCCTAACTCGTGTCTCTTCTCCCCCCACCACTCTTATGCCCATGTGCCCCTCCTTCTCCATCTCCTCATGGTGCCCCTTGAACTTGTGCCACCCACTTCCTCCACCCCTACTCCTGGCCGCCCCGATGCTGTGTGGCCCCTTGCCTTGTTGTACTGCACGCAGCGCCGCAGCAGCTCTGAGGCGAGGTCGAACTTGCCCCCCTGGCAGTAGATGTCGGCCAGCAGGAGCCAGCTCTTCTCTAGGTCATCTGCTTCATCCAGTACCCAGGGGGCCTTGGCCTGGCGCTTCAGCTGTGTGCGTGCTTTGGGGATCTGCTTCAGTAGAGTGTAGGCCTGTGCCATGGCCAGCAGGGCGGAGACGCTGTTCTTCTGCACACGGGGTGGGAAACAGCCATTGGTGTGGCTTAACCCTAGGCCTCTGCCCTGCCGCCCACCATCCCAGCAAGCAGGCGCACCTCGGCCTGGGCCATCTCGATGAAGGTGCTCAGCGCTGCCTCCACGTTAGCCTTCTCCCTTGTGGCCATCAGGCAGAGGCTCTGCAGAAGCCGCAACTGGGCCTGGCCAGAGACTGAGTGTGGGTAGAACTCACGCAGCAGCTTTTCAGCTGTGCGCACACCGTGCTGCTCTGAGTCCTTCTTATCCATGGAGCTGTGGGCGATGGATTATGAGCTCAGCCTGCACCCCTGGCCTTGGCTCATAGGTTGTAGGACCTCCCCTCCTTCCCCAGGATCCCACCCTTGTCCCTCATGGGCAAGTGGAGTCCTTACATGCTCTCAGCCATCATGTTCTCAAAAGCTTCTCCGCCCATGATCTCATTGTCCGGGTTCAGACAAATCTGTACCATGTAGTAGGTGGCTCTCTGGCCCCAAGTGCTGTCCTTGCGAGCCTTGTTCAGGAACTTCAGGGCTTCGTTGGGCTGCCCTATGTGCCTGTGGTGGAGGAGAGAAACACCAAGAATCAGATAGGGAAACTGAGACCCAGATAGTGCAAGGACATGTAGAGGTCACTCCATTAGTCTGCGAAGAGCAGGAGCTGAATCTATGGTCTCTCAACTCCCCATCCTGGAAGCAGAATTTCTGCTCCTCTAGTGCTGAGCAAGAAGGAGCCCTGGCGGCACAGTGGTTAAGCACTTGGCTGCTAACCAAAAGTTCAGTATTTCAAACCCACCAACCACTCCACAGGAGAAAGATGTGGGAGTCTACTTCTGCAAAGACTGTAGCCTTGGAAACCCCATGGGGCAGTTCTACTTTTTTTTTTTTTTTTAATTTTTATTGTGAGTTGGGTGAAAGTTTACAGAGCAAATTCATTTTCCATACAGCAGTTCATACACATTTTGTTTCATGACATTGACTGTAATCCCTCCCAATGTAACAGCTTCCTCCCTGTAGCTACCTCTTCCCTGTGTCCTTCTTTCCTATGCATTCCTGCCCCTGAGCTATCTCAGTATGCAAATACTGCCCTTCTGATCTCTCATGATTTATCATTCTAAAGAGTATATCTACCTGATATAAATGTTCACCCCATATGCCTGTCTATGGTTTGGCTGGAAGCCACCGGAGTGAGTTCAATTCCAGCCCTGAAGGGTAACTAGGGGCCATAGGCTCCGGGGTCTCAACAGGCTCTATCTAGTTCTACTCTGTCTTATGGGGGGAATTGTCTAGATGGCAACAGGTTTTAGTGCTGGAGAGGCCTCCTGTGCATCCCCCCTCCTTAACTTACCAGTAGTAAATGCCTCTGCAGTAGTTGAACCCTGCCTCCAAAGGTACACGGCTGGACACCTTCTTGGCCAGTTCAAAGAAGGTGGGGGCTTCTTCAAGTTTACCACTTCTTCGTAACAGATCGATTAATTTATTCAGTACTGAAAAATTATCTAAAATGACAAGAGAGCAGAAATCTCCAGGCTATAATGGCCAATAGCTACATCAATTAGGGGTGACATGACCTGGCAGGAAGAAGCAGGAGGTGCTGGGTGCCCAAGAGGAAGCCAGGAGACATTGCCTATCTGGGCTAAACAAGGACATCCCAGGGCTGCCTCATGGGCTGGTGCTGAGAGAATAATAACAATAATGTTTAAAAATGATAATAATAATCACAACTATAAACCACTGCCATTGACTGGATTCTGACTCACAGAGACCCAACAGGACAGAACAGAATGGTGCCACAGGACTTTCTCAGAAAGAACACTGGGCAATCTACTTTCGTAGAGATACCACCTCAGAAACCCAATGAGTGGTCACTTTGAGTTGGAATCAACTTGACAGAAATGAGTTTGTTTTTTTTGGTAGGATTTCCAAGGCTGTAAATCTTTGTAGAAACTGACTCCCTTACCTTTCTCCCACAGAGTCACTGGTGGGTTTGAACCAGCGGGTTGATCTTTTGGTTAGCAGCCAAATGCTTTAACTACTGTATCATGAGAGTGCCTAATCACAACTTTGTTGTTGTTGTTGTTATATGCCGTCGAGTCGGCCCCGACTCATAGCGACCCCTCCTTGGGTTTCCGAGGCAGTATCACTACGGAAGTAGGATTGCCCAACCTTCCTTCCAAGGAGTGGCTGGTGGGTTTGAACCGCCAGCCGTCTGGTTAGCAGGCAAGTGTCTTAGCCACTATGCTACCAGAGCTCCAAATCACAACTTTAGCACTTACTAATTACCCGGGGTACAGTGAGCCTGACTTTTTAGGAGCTCTGGTAGCATAGTGCCTAAGGCACTTGACTGTTAACCAGAAGGCTGGTGGTTCAAACCCACCAGCTACTCCTCAGAAGGAAGGTTGGGCATTCCTACTTCCGTAGTGATACTGCCTCGGAAACCCAAGGAGGGGTTGCTATGAGTCGGGGCCGACTCGATGGCAAATAACAACAACAACCACCAATTACATTAACTACTAACATGAACCATAATACACCATGAGGTAGTATTCTTATTGTCCCTATTATACAGACAAGGAAACTGAGGCACAGAGAAGTTACGTAAGCAATCTGATGAAGATTACCCAGCTAGCAAGTGGCAGACCAGGATTCAGATCCAGGCAGCCTGACTGCAGGGTCCACATTTCTAACCACTTTGATCTGCTGGAGTCATAGAACATTCTCCCATGGGCCTGCTGGGGTTCAAGCCTGACCCTTGTATGTAGCTCCTTCCCCAGCAAGAAGGGGTGGTTTATGCTGCAGTTGAGTGGGAATGGAGCTAATATCAAGGGAGTAGTCCAAGGCCTCTCCAGAAAGCTGTAACTTCGAGGCTATATTCAGCCTCAGCAGCTATGATTTGGAGACAGACAGGCCTTCATGGGTCTAAGACCAAGCACTGCCCTGTCAGGAATTGGCCCCTTTGACTCAGGAAGTGCTTGTATGTTCCATCAGGTCTTTCTTGGTTTCCTGCCACTATGGGAACAATCAGAGAGGAAGGGGCTGCCTCTGCCCAGTCAGGAAGGAGGGGAGAGGGCCCACGCTTCTTGGGAGCAGCAGCTGGTACTCAATGGGAACTAATGTAGGCAGTCTCAAAACGGGCCAAGTTACCTGGTACTTTCTCCAGGACCTGGTGGTAGAGACTGATGGCAGCTTCATAATTCTGTTTTCGAAACATCAGGTCAGCCATCATCTATCAGAAAACACACAATAGTCTAGAATCTCTGATAGCAGTTTGCAGGGGTGTTGTGTGGTAGCTGGGAGATGAGTACAAGGGAAGAGGGGAGGTAGAAAAAGACTTCCAAGGCAGTCTCCCTAGGCTGTGGAACAGCTGCTACAGGAGGAGCCCGAAAGTTCCTCAGACCCTCACTCAGAAGGTGGAGCCTATGGGAGTGGGGAGCAGGGTGAGAATGGGAGTGGGAAGCTAAAACCAGAAGGAGATATCAATGGGGTCTCTTGACAACCTGTAGAACAGCCCTCCACACATACACGCACTTCTGAACACTGCCAACTCTAGGCAATGGAGGTAGAGATGGGGCTCCCCTCCTCTGCTCTGCAGGGTCTCAGTCTCCGCTCTTAGGGCAGCCCTAGTGGAGGGCTGATGATAGGAAGGAGAGAGCAGAACTGAGGACTGCTTTCTCAACATACTGCCTGAAGCCCCTGGAACCTGGCCCACCCTGGCCTTCAGTGACAGTGGGTGTGGTTTCCCTTAGAGTGAGTCAACCTTACCCCCTCCCCTTAGAAGGCCCAAGAGGTTGTTGCTGCCCCCTGCTGGCCTGACCACCCCTCCCACTGAAGGGCAGTTGTCTAGCTCAAGAGCCCTCTGCTTGACAGATCCTCTGGACAGGGGGTTGGGGAGTCAGCCAGGCAATGGGGTCACAGGACCCTGAGCTGAGGAGGGCGGGAGGTAGGCCTGGGGCCTCCTACCACAGAGGGGGTCTCCTGGTTCTGCTCGGTCTGCAGGAGGATGGCACAGTGCTGTTCACACAAGTCCAGATGCCCCTGGAGCAAGTAGAGCCGCGCCAGTTCCAACACCACCTGGGACGAAGCTGGATATAGTGCACCAACCAAGGAACATCATGGGAAAACCCTGGGAGTGTGCTTGATGCCTCTTTTTCCTTTATGCCTTATGTCTATAGGCTCTGCTTTCAGAATGAATCCCTAATCCTCCAGAATCTCTGACCCTCCTCTGCTCCTGTCCAATACTCCAGGCTAACTGACCTTTCAAAGTGGGGGCCTGGTTATTTATCTTCAGCTCTGGCTCACCTCCTCTGGGAAGCCCTCTGTGGCCCAGACTTGGGGCAGGGACCCTTCCTCTGAGCCTCATCGTGCCCTGTGCTCACATACAGTGCATACTGCATTGGTATCAGAACAGCCTATTTATGGTTGATTTCCCCTTGCCTGATGGCAGCGCATGGGCGGGGACCATGTCTTGCCCTATTTTGCCTCCAAACCCTAGTATAGGACCTGGCACATATTAGAAATCTGCCAAATGAGTGAATAATTAAATTAACAAATGGGTCGTTCACCAAGATCATCATCTACTCTCTTAGCCTGAAAGCTAGCCACCATCTCCATATCTGGAACCACATACCCCCTTACAGCTCTGCAACTCCTTGGAAGCTTAGCCTGGACTTCATGCCAAAGGAGCCCCTGGCAGCAACAACTCTTATCACCTCCCCATTTCTAAGAAATGACTTTCAGCAAAATGTCCTCCCAAGCCCACCTTCAAATGGCTGTCCAAAGTGGGGCTTCTCAGCCTGCCTTCACAGGCTGTGGCAGGTGAAGGCCTGGGGTCAGCTGGAACAGGATCCCCAACTGGGGAGCTGCCCATGGCTGGCCTCCCGCACCCTGTCCACCTGAGCTCTTCAAAGAGGTATGGAAAAGGAACTGGCCCCTGGCCCCAGGGGGAGCTCAGCAAGGCATGTGCCCAGAAAGAAGAAGCAGGGCCACTCACCTTGTTGTCAGTGGGTGAGTAGGAGAGGGCATCCTTGTAAGCCCGCACTGCCTGGGCATACTCCTTCTCTTCAAGGTAGTGCTCCCCAAACTGGATGCAGATGGAGGCTGCCAGTTGCTTCTGAGAGGGGATCATTTCTGGTTGTTCCAGTGGAACCCGCTTCAGTATCCGAGACTGGAGGTCCAAGGCCTTGGGAGACCAATAAGCCCAGGCTCAGGAACGAGAGCCTGACCTGCCAGGCTCTTTCTTAGGCCAGTCCACAGAAAGTTTCTACACTCTGACTTCAGAGCCAGCATCTGGTGGTGCAGTGCCGAAGGCATTTGACTGCTAACCAGAAGGTTGGCGGTTCAAACCCACCAGCCACTCTATGGAAGGAAGACAGGGCAGTCTACTTCCCTAAAGATTTACTGCCTCGGAAACCCAATGGTGACTTGATGGCTGTGGGTTTGGTATTTGGTTTAATGTTAGAAAAGACATCTCAAGTGCCCTGGGTAAATCAGAGTCACCAGACAGGCAAAGCCACTGCTGAGTGCATAGGGAGGCAAGCTGCACTGTCTCGGGGGCAGGAGCAGAAGGAAAGGCACTCAAACAAAACACTATATTGTGCTTTTCCTGTTTATTTGCTGCCATCGTACCTTGAGGTACAGTGTCTAATCTGCTTTGGCTGCCCTACCAGCTAGAATAGGTACCCCGTAGGTGCTCAATGCAGGCTACATTTTACAGATACAATTTGTTCTGAATATGTTGCCCTGTTGGGAATTTAGGCAGTCCCCTGACCCCCATCCCCAAATATCCATGACCTAAAATCACCAAGTATATAGGTGGAAAGCCTCAGGGCAAGAGGAAATGACAGTGCCAGGTAAGTTACCAGAAGTGGGCACAAAGGAGCACTCGGCTCCCCACAGGCCAAAAACCGAGTGGGCATCCTGCATGCTCAGTGGACGGTAAACAAGGGAATAGATTAGAGTGTGAGCTCTCTCTATACAACCTCAGAATGCACCCAAGAGCAAATGCCAGGCCACACCCTTGGATAGCAAGAATGAGGAAGACCGCAGCAGAAGTGGCCAGGGGCTCTCAAATCAGGGGCACCCAGTGGGGGAAGAGCATGGACTGGGATCGGCAGACCAGGTCCAAATCCTAGCTCTACTGACTTTGGGCACATTTCTTAAGCTCTGTGAGTTTAATAGTCTTATCTCTTAAATGAGAATGTCAGAGTGGTTACCTTACAATATTATTGTAAGAATTAAAAAAGATAGAAAAATGCCCAATACAGAGCCTGGCATAGAGCATTCACCATGTGGGAGCTATTGTGGTTCCCATAATTATCACCTCAATCATCCTTTAGGGCTTACTTCCCACCCTTCCCTCCCCAGGCCAGCCCAGCTCAGCTCAGAGCACTTTGCTGCACCCACACAGAATGAGCAGGGGTCAGGGAATAAACAGGAAGATGTAGGTCAGAGGTGAAGCCCAGGTGCTCTTTTGAGGACCAGGGCCTGGGACTTTCCAGACCAGTAGCCCCTTCCTTCTTTCTTCAGTCTCCATGGGACCTGGGAGGTAAGGGGCCTGGGGCCCATCTGCCAACTACCTTGTTCAAAGTTTCCATCACATCTTCTTTTTTATGACTCTTATAAACTTTTGCCAGCAGAAGTAGGCACTTAACATCATTCATCATGGATGGGATATCTTGGACTGTAAAATGGAAACTCAGGTTAGTAAGGCTGGGGGGGTGGGAGGGAACTGGGCTAGGCTCAGGACTCCAGCCAACACTCCTGTAGGAGAACAGAGAGCCGGCTGCTGGCTCCAAGTGCTGGGAGTGCGTTAAAAGGCTGCCTCACCAAAGTCACGCTCCAGTGCCTGCTTTAGAACTTTTTCTGCTTTGGTGAACTTCTTTAACTTCAGGAGCAGTTCAGCCAGATCGCAGCACAGAAAGTCCTGTCCGCTAATCTTCTGGGCGGCCTCATAATAATTAATTGCCTTGGTGCAAACAGGAAGGATTGGCATCAGGTCTGGTGCCCAGTGAACCTTGTTTGCTCTGCTTGAGCACCTGACACCATACTGCCTCCAACAGCCACAGCACCTGTATGCCCCTCCGGAACACAGAATTCTAAGATGAAAGGGCCTCCCAGCTGGCTCAAGGATGCTGCAGCTGGAGCAGGGATGGGGTGGGGGAGTTGCTGAGTTCTTCCCTTGGTGTGCCATTCAGCAGGCAGCTGGGGTGGAAACCCAGGCACACTCCTCCCATTCAGACCCTCTCACTTGTATGCCCTCCCTCCCCCCTCCCCCCACCTCCAGCCCAGCCCAGCCTGACCTTGTTGTACTGGTGAGTCTTCACATAAGCTTGCCCAATCCTGCTGACCAGGGAGGCGTCATGCGGGTTCTTTCTATATGCCTCATCATAGACTTCCAAGGCCTTCTCAGGCTGGTGGGGAAAGTATCTGGGGGTCTCTCTCTTCTCTTTCACCGGAGAAGTGAGATGAGGGGCCACTTGGCAAGACTGTGAGGTCCCTCACTTACCTCCTGAATGTTCATAAAAGCATCACCCAGTAGCAGGCTGGTGTGGGGGCCAGGAAGGTTTTCACAGAGCTCACTGCAAAGGTAACCAAAAGCTTGTCTCAGGTCTGTGCATCCTTCACCTTCTTTGAATCCATTTCCTTCTCTTCTTTCCCACTGATTCTCAAGGCCACTGATTCTGGCTGTCATCCATCCATCCATCCATCCATCTATCCATCCAATCTTTATTTAAAGCACACGTGAGGCATTGCACTGGCTGCTTCAGTACAGGCTCTCCTCATCTGGGCCATGGATAGAGCCTCCACTCTACTCCCACCCTTCCAGAGCCCTCTCCATCTAAGGCAGACACACTGTTCTTTCTAGAACCCCAATCTGACCATGCCACCTGTGGTAGTTTAGTTTGTGTGTCAACTTGGCTAGGCCTGGTTGAGTGGCTGAGCAGCTGGATGTAGTTAGTATTCCCCATGATGAGACTAGTAATCAGCTCCATGATGGAATCTCCTGTGAGCAGCTGAGTAGCTGCCTTAGGGATGTGGTCGGCTTCCTGTATATAAGGAGAAGCCTTGGGAACAGACTCTGGCTTATAGCATGCTTGAACCCTGCATGTAGCTGTATCATTGTTCAGCAGCCTGCCATGCTCTGCTGACCTTGGAACTTTCAATGGACTTGAATTAATGGCTTGCCATGTGGTTTGGAGGAGCTCTGGTAGTGTAGTGCCTAAGGCATTTGACTGCTAACCAGAAGGCTGGTGGTTCAAACCTACCAGCCACTCCTCGGAAGGAAGTTTGGGCAATCTACTTCCATACTGATACTGCCTTGGAAACCCAAAGAGGGGTCACTATGAGTTGGGTCTGACTAGACGGCACATAACAACAACAACACAACATGTGGTTTGGTAACATTGGGACTGTGCCTTTTTATTTGTCAACTTCGGGCTTGTCAGTCTCAGCCACCAGCAGGTGTCTGAGTGAAGAAAAGCCTCTGGCTCCAGTGGGCTGGGAACAGGAGGCAGAGCTGAACCCCAAGGTCGAGGGGCTTTCACCCAGGCCCTAGAGCTTGGCACTTTGAACTTGGACTTGAAGCCTCCAAATTGTAGGAGAATAAACTTCTGTTTCTTCAAGCCATCCCATTTGTGGTATATTCTTGTCAGAGTGGTACTAGGTAACCAAAACACCACCCCATTGTTTATTGGTTTCTACAAGCTCTTGAGATAGCCTCCCTATTCCCCTCAACCTGCCCTCATCACTGCAAGAAATTGCTTAGATGGAGTTTTGCCTGAAGGGACTGGGAAGGCAGCCTCAAGGTCCCAACACCAACTCACACAGAGACAGACAGAAGCTCCAGGCTTCAGATACCTGCTGTCCACCCTCAGTCTTCACTGCAGACTGGTCATATCCAAGCCTCTGGACATTTTCTCAAGGACAAACACAACCAGGGGCTAGACTAGAATTGCATTCCCTCAGTTCCTTCAACGTGTGTCTGGGAGTCAGATCCAGTCTCCCATCAGGATGTGAGCCATGCATGCAGGACTTGGTGCATCTAGCTTTGTGTCCTCAGAACTCAGTAGCTGACCTGTTACGTTCCAACTCTACCCCATGGGAAATTCACACCTGTGTCTCACACACTCCAAGGACATATTCTAAAGACCCAGGTTGAAGAAATACACTCCCTAAAATCCGACAGAATGGGCTGGCACTGTGCTGCCTAGTTGGCTTACCGGTAGCACCCAATATACAGGCGGACATCTTTACGGGCGTTCAGGTAGATGCTGGCCATCTTCTCCTTGGCTTCCGTGTAGCAGGGCTGCTTGGGGGTGATGTTCCTCAGCATACTGAGTGCCACGTCCACGTTCCCCTTGCTCAGGGCCAAGTCCACGTTGGCGATGGTGATGCGGATCTCTTCTGGCGTGCCGCTGAACTCATTGATGGCATCCTGCATGACTTTGGTGGCCTCATGCTAAAGCATGAAAACCAAACCAATGCTCAATTCACAGTTAACCACCATCAGTCTCCAGACCTCAAGGAAACTTAAAGTAATCCCCCTTTCCACTCCTGCTCTGTGAAAGAGATAAAGCATGGAGTCAGAGCTGGGCTCAGGTAAGACTTGCAGCATTGGTGGCAGAGAGGGGAGAGAGCCCTTTAAAGTCTATGGCAACTGTTTCTGGAGGGGAAGGGGTGGACCCTTAGCTATCTTGGGAATGCCAGTACCAGCTGTCATCAAACAGACTCCAACTCAACTGTGCTCCATAGCATTTTCAATGGCTGGTTTTATAGAAGCAGATGGCCAAGGCTTTCTTCTGAGGCATCTCTGGGTGAACTTGAACCTCTAATCTTTTGGTTACCAGCTGAGAACATTAAAGTTTGCACCACCTAGAGACTCTGCTTGGGGGTACAGGAAGGAATCCCCAACTATAATAACCTGCCTGTTCCTTAAGCACCTCAAACCTTGACTGTTGCAATTCCTTCCTATAGGAGACCTTCTGGTTGTGTCTCCTTATATCTTCTTGCTTTTGACCAAAGAGATATATTTTTTCATACTATTCCTTTATTATCCTTTTAATTTTATTTTTTATTGTGATCTGGCTGAGAGTTTACAGAGCAAATTCATTTTCCATACAGCAGTTCATACACATGTTGTTTCATGACATTGCCTGCAATCTCTCCCAGTGTAACAGCTCTCTTCCCACTTCCTCCCCTGTAGCTACCTCTTCCCCGTGTCCTTCTTTCCTATGCATTCCCACTCTCTGAACTTAGTGTGCAAATACTGCCCTTCTGATCTCCCATGATTGATTGTTCTAAGGATTGTATCTACCTGATGTGAATGTTCACCCTATATTCCTGTCTATGGTTTGTCTGGAAGCCACGGGAGTGAGTTCATTTCCAGACCTGAAGGATAACTAGTGGCCATAGTCTCAGAGGTCTCACCAGGCTCTGTCAGACCAGTAAGCCTTGTCTTTTTCATGATTTTGAGTTTTGTTCCACATTTTTCTCCCACTCTATCCAGGATCTCCAATTTTGATCCCTTTCCAAGTGGTTGGAAGTAGTAGCCAGGCATTGTCTAGTTCTTCTGGTCTAAGGGTCATATAGGCTGAAGTTCCCATGTTCCACTCGTCTCTTGAACTAATTCTTTCCATACATCTTTGATTTTTTTTTTTTTTTTCACTTTTCTTTGCTTTGGATGAGGAGAGACCAATTGGTGCAACTTAGATGGCTGCTCACAAGCTTTTAAGGCCCCAGTCTCTACTCACTAAAGTAGGAGGCAGAACATTATCTCTGTGCAGTATGTTATGCCAATTGAACTTGATATCCCCTGCAACCAATGACCAAAGATATTTTAATGTTGCAGTATTTGACGTGTAAAGATCCTATTTGAGTTATACTTTCATTATATTTGTCCCAAGTTATTTTAATAATTATTAGTAGTTGTTTTTTAATTCTTTCACCGATTTTGGTGCTCTTTCCCTTGAATTCAGCCTCAGCAGACATTGCTACCTCAGCCCCTGCTTTCTGTTTGTCTGGCATGTCTGTACCATCTTTTCACTTTTCTTCTGGACCTTTTGGTTTTTGGAGTGTGGATAATAGAGGTTTTGTTGTTGGTTTGTTTCAGTCACTGTGAATGTCTCTTTCACTTAATAAGTTCATTAATTTCATTTACAATTTTATCAGAGATGCATGTACTTTGGCTTTTGTCGACTTATGTTTTTCCTTTTCTGTGCTGCTTGTGGGTTGCTTCACCTCTGCCTTTTGATACATAGCCTTGCTTTCTTTTTCATAAGTCTTGATTAATTTGGTGGAAATGTTGTTGTTGTTGTTGTTATATGCCATCAAGTCAGACCCGACTCATAGCAACCCCTCCTTGGGTTTCCAAGGTGGTATCACTACAGAAGTAGATTACCCAACCTTCCTTCCGAGGAGTGGCTGGTGGGTTTGAACCACCAGCCTTCTGGTTAGCAGTCAAGTGCCTTAGGCACTATGCTACCAGAGCTCCCTTAGTGGAAATAGTCTATGTTAATTCTACTAATAGACATCTTTCTATCATGAAATATTTTTGGTGAACTTTCATTTCTCAAATTGTTAACCTAAGAAACAATTTCAGACTTTCCCTAGATGGACCCCTTCTGATAACTGCTCCTCCTTAAATGCTCCTTAAATGGCAACAGCTCCATCTAAACTGCCCTCTTCTCAAGATCTGGGTTAGGGAGGGAGGGAGACCTGGCACAGCTGCCCTAAAGCACACCTCCCCTTAGCTCTCTGTTGGTCCTCCCTTGGGGAGCAGCCTGTGAGGGAAGCTAGCGTCAGGATGGATGTTCACAGAGAAGGCCATGCTTGTGGATCTGTGATTTATCTCATCTGAGGAAGCTGTAAATCTGATTTTCAGGTTCTTTCCCTCCTTACTTTCCTCTTTCCCACCTCTCTTCCTATGTAGGAGACCAGGGCAGAGAACACAGAAGAAGCATTTTAGCAGGGAGTCCTTATCCAGCAGTGCTGCCCTTCTGTGGAGTAGAACCAGGTCCTTTCTCTTCCTGTGGCTGGACTGCATCCCCAGTTCTTAAAGTTCCCAGCAAATGCAGGCACCGCCGCTTTTTCTCTCTCTATCCCACCAATGGTAACCTCCACAAGGACAGAGCCTCTCTGGCTTGTTCTCCTTCATCCCTAGCTCCTATCAGAGTGCCTGCAATACTGTAAACTCTGAACAAACAGTAGCTGAATAAATGACCAAGTAAATCAATGATGAATAACTCTTCTTGCATGTGGCTGTTCCTGTTTCATTATAGATGGAGATTCCATTCTACTTTCAATTCTTCTGTTCCTTTTGGCAGACTTAAGAGAGGCAAGCACAATAAGCATCCTTCCACATTCCCATCTTTGCTCTGGAGGCAATTTTTATCTTAAGGAAAAAAAAGGCCTCATGGGTTGGTTCCCCCCCGACTCAGGGATCATCACAGGAGAAGGCTGGAGATGGATCACAGAGATAGCTCTAGGGCTGTTCTGCCAGAGCCCTTTCCCATGAGCTGGTGGGACCAGTGAGGCCAGGGAGCCCAAGGGAACAGATAGAGCCCAGCTCCTCCCAGGCCTGCCCTGCCTCTGTGCTCCTCATTACTCCGATGTATCAGCTGAGGAGCCTAGGTGTTCTCTGCCTCTGCCCAGCCAGACCTTCCAAGGCCTGGGGGCTGCCTTACACAGCTGAGGAGGCTGTACCCTGCAGCACTCCAAGGCAGCACCATTCATCAAGATTGTGATGTGGCATCACCTGGAGCTGTGTAATGCCCAAAGTGCACAAGCAGTGATGGTGGTGGCACTGCTGGGCTAGTGTGCTCCCTCACTGAGATCCTCATGGGGACTGTGAGGGAGGCAAGGGCTAGATCATGCAGGGCCCAGGAGGATTTGGATTTGATCTTGAGGGCAATGGGAAACACTTAAGTCTTTTAGGCAGTGGAGAGACATGCTCACAAATGAAAACGTGCTCAGACTGTGGCCAGAATCAAAGTACCTGATTCCCTGTCTGGAGGGTACCCTTGACCTCCAACATACCCTAATCCCAAAGGAGGAGAGCATGTCACTTCTTACCAGCTCCCCATTCAGCCGGAGTGCATCTGCCAGTTCCAGTAAGATGGACACGCGCTCGCTGGGCTGCAAGGAAGGCCCACGGAACTTCTTGCTTTCTTCCACCCTCAGAGTTGGTAATTTTGTTATCATTTTCAGAGTCTTTATGGCCTCTGGATAGTCCCCAGACTTGTTGAGGGCTCTGGCCTTGATGAAGTGGTAGAGGGGGTGGTCTCGGACCTAGAGGAGCATAGCAGGGTGGGGGGCCACAGTTCACTACCGTTCTGCTGCTGCTCACAGCACCCAGAGCAGAGAAGGCCCAGAAACTCACTAAACCTGGCTCTGTCTTTGGCCAGCAGAAGGGTCTGAGGGAGGTAGACATGCCCACCCCCTGGGGCTTCGGGATGCTGAGTAGGCAACAGGGCACAGAGGACCCGCACCTGGAAGTTGTGGCTGACGCCCAGCTCTAAGCAGTGGGAACACATGGCAAAGTTGCCCTGAGCAAGGTAGATCTGGGCCATGAGCAAGTGGGTGTCTGCAGACGTAGGGTCCAGCTCCAGGCAACGCTGCAGGGTGCTCTGGGCATTCTCTAGCTCTCCTAGAAATGAAAGACAAACCTCTATGTCCGGGGGTCCTTGGGGACTCCTGAGGCCCATTATGCAAAGGCAGAATGACTTTTACATGCCCTTACCAAGAAATACCGAAGTTAGGCATTTTACTCAGTTCTGTTATGCCTCACTCAGAGGTACCTCCCTAAAATCAAAACTACATAGTTTTTGCCTTGACTCAGACAAAAGGGAGGAAATACTCAACCTTTCTTTCTCTCTGTGTCCCTTTAAGTCACTTCACTGCTCCATCTGAAACCACGGAGGGAATATATAAGTCCTAATTCCCAACCTTAAGAGCAGGACAAAACTTAGTAATAACAAATTATAACGGCCACAGGAGCCCTGGGGGTGCAGTGGTTAAGTGCTTGGCTGCTAACGGAATCCACCAGCCATTCCACAGGAGGAAGATGTGGCAGTCTGCTTCTGTAAAGATTACAGCCTTGTAGATCCTGCTGGGCAGTTCTACTCTGTCCTATAGGGTCACTATGAGCCAGGATCAACTCAATGGTAACAAGCTTGGTTTTTTTTTTTTTTTTTAAATATATAGAATGGCCACATTTTATGAACATTTGCTCTGTATCTGACACATGTGAAGCATTTTAGAATGTCTGGTGTAATATTTGTCCAGTCCTGTAAGGCTGGTATTATTATTCTTGTTTATTAATAAAAGATCCCTGGGCAGCACAACAGTTTGTGCTAGGCTCAAAACCCTGGTTTAAACCCACCCAGTGGAGCTGCAGAAGAAAGGCCCAATGAACTGCTTCCATAAAGATTACAGCCAAAAAAAATCCTACGGCACTCAGTTCTACTCTGTAACACATGAAGTAGCCATGAGTTGGAACTGATAAGATGGCTTGGGTTTTTTGGTTTTACTTTTAATAAAGGACCTGAGATTCCAGGCCACATAGCTTGGAAGAGGAAAAAGCTGGCACTTAAACTCAGGCTCATCTGGCTGGTAGGCTGATTCTGAACCTCCTGGGGTTCTGAACTGTGGGGCTGAGGGCCACCCTGCTCCAGACTGGTGCTTAGGGGGTGGCTGTGGCAGCCCAGGGTGGGGCATGGTGAACTGATAGGAGAGCTTCCTCCAGCTCTGCTTGGGGTCTACAACATGGTGGGTAGGGAGCACACACTCTGGGTCCCAAACTCCCTGCTTCTTCCTTGGGTGCTGCAGAAAGGTAAAGAGATCACCACGGCAACCTAGGCAACTGGAGACCTTGATTTGGCCCAAACCTGCTGGCAGCTGCCGGCACCCCTGGGGTGTCCTCCTGCTATGCCTTATTCCCAAGAGGCACTGAAGTTGTGTGTAAACTTGGCAACCTCATGAAAATAGGGAGAATTGGGCTCCCAGCAGGGTCTGAGCACACAATGAGGTGCCATAGGACAAATGCAAGGCTAGAGGGGCAGAGAGGGAGCTCTGGTAGCATAGTGGCTAAGTCACTTGACTGCTCACCAGATGGCTGGCGGTTCAAACCCATCAGCCACTCCTCGGAAGGAAGGTTGGGCAATCCTACTTCCGTAGTGATACTGCCTCGGAAACCCAAGGAGGGGTCGCTATGAGTCAGGGCTGACTCGACGGCACATAACAACAACAACAACAACAAGAGGGGCAGAGAATACTCCGGGGAAGGTTCTATGTCAGGAGAAATCTTTGGACCAAAATAGGGCACCCGTGGAGAGCTCTCCCTCCTTTTCTAGGGTTTGGCCTTTGAGGTGGGAGAAGCTGGAAGGGCACTGTTCTGGCCTCCCAGAAGCTCTACAGCCCAGGAGAGGCCCAGGCCAGGGCTCAGTGTGCCAAAGGTCATCTGTAAACACTCCCAATCCAGGACTATAACCCCTAGGATGGGCCACATTGGAGAGACAACTAATTGTAGAAGGTCTCACCTTTGCCACGGGGCCTTCTTGACAACTCCTTAAAAATGCTGCCCCTCCCCACCACATCCCCTTCTTCACTTTAGTTTTCTCCATGGCATTATCACATTCTAACAAACTATATAATGTGCTTTGCTGCTTTGTTTATTGTCTATTTCTATTTCTCCTGTAACTAGTTGCTGTAGAGCTAACTCTAACTCATGGAGACCCCGTATGTGTCATAGCAGAACTGTCTTCCATAGTGTTTCCAATGGCTGATTTTCTTCAAAGCAGATCACCAGGCCTTTCTTCCAAGGCACCTCTGGGTGGACTTGAGCCTGCAACTTTTCGGTTAGCAGACGAGTTCACTAACCATGTGCACCACCCAGGGACTTTATTTTCCCTTACTAGGAGGCAGATTCCACGAATGTGGGAATTTTGTCTATTTTGGGACTGCTGTATTGTAGTACTCAGAGTAGCACCTGGCATGTAAAAGAAGTTCAATGACGTAATAGAAGTTCAATGGCACAGACCAAGTAAATAATCAGCAAAAGGCCTAGGTGGAAGAGAGACCTGTTGGCAGGGTTGATCAGGAAGGTATCTAGGGAACTGGAGTTGGACAGAGTGGGCAGGCCTAGTGAGGAAGGTATGCATGTGTATGTGTGAGTGAGTGTGTGAATGTGTGTGCAGGGAGTCTGTGGACACCAAACCAGATGCAGAAGCCCCACCAGGTGAATGCATGCAAGGCCCCACCTGGCCTCAAGGACCCATAGGCTCACCTGAGAGATATTTGACGTGAGCTGACAGATAAAGGGGTTCAATCAGAGCTGGGGCTGCTTTGACCACAGGGCTCAAGATCACGGCGACTTGTTTAAGAAGTGGAGACACGATCTGGCCTGGCGACCGGGGCTGTGGGAACACCGGGGTCTGGTTTTGTGGTTTATCCCATGCAAGAGAGACTCCCAGAGCTCTCAGTAAAGAGATTTTATTTTATCCCACATATGTCGATTGTCCACCCTGTGCCTGCTAGTGCTTGAGCATGAGCTCCAGACAATGGGGACTTTGTTTTGTTTACTGCGTGTCCTCAACACCTAGAATGGTGGCTGACACATGGTAGTGTACCCAATTAGTATTTGTTGAGTGATTCATTACAAGGCATAGGGGTGGTATTAAGATGTTTAAGATATGATCAGTGCCCACGAGGAATCTTGACTGGCTGGGAAAGCCGGACTAACAAGCAAAGACAAACATACTTCCTTGAAGACTTCTAGACGAAGGAAGCCAAGTTCTTTTCTAGGATAACAGCAGGGGCATGGGTTAGAGCCCTGCTTCTCCAAGTATGGGCCCAAGATCAGCAGCATCAGCATTACCTGGGAGCTAGTTAGAGATACAGGGTCAGGTCCTACTGCTGAGTCAGAATCTGCCAGATGATTTGTGTGCTGCTTGTCGAAGTGTGAGAAGCACCTGACTGCCTGCCCAAGGCTCAGACCAGCCTGGTGACAGGCCAGGTGAGGTCTCAGCCTCTGTCTTTCAGGTATGCATATATCCAAGCCTGTATTCCAGACCCCCTGCCATGAAGATGAGTCTGCCCCTCACCTGCTTGGGGCAGAAGAACAAGTACTCCTTGGTGATGCAGACCAGGAAGGAGGGGTCCAGCCGTTCGAAGTACTCGGGGCTCAGGGGGAGGCCCTGCATACTGGAGAAATGCAGCTCTGCAGCTTCCTTCAGGAGTGCTGGGGCCTCCTGTTCCGCCCTGTGCTTCTTGGATGCCAGAAGGGCCTGGAGGAAAACCAGCACCTGCAGAGGGAAGCCCGAGTCCTGGAATCACTAGGGCAGAGTGGATGGTGGAGGGCAAGGCAGAGTCCCTGGCCATCTTGGCTGCTCTGTATTAGAAACTGGGGTAGAAAGAGGGTGGGCAACAAGATCAGGGAGCAGCCCATGCCCCAGAGAGCTCAGACCTCAGACTTTCCAAGGGACTGCTGCACTTCCTTCAGGAATTCCAGCTGTTGCTCAGCCTCGTCCAGCTGGCCTTGTAAGATGCAGCACCAGATGATCCCTGGGAATGGAACAGAACATGGATGAGCAGCCATCTCCAAAGTAGACCCAGCCGCCCAGCTGAAAAGACTGGATGAGAGCTGGAAAGGACGGGCCCCAGGGCAGGGTCTCTGACTCTTTCCAACGTCTTCATAAGCTGAAAGAGTGATACATACTCATGACAGAGAATTCAAAGCATAAGGCAACATATGAAAACATCCCTGGCTCATGCTCTGGCTTCAATGTTTCTTTCTAGAGATAAGCACTGTTACAAACACTGAAATGTTTTCCTTTCAATATTTTTCTAAGCATTTATGTTTTTAATATGCATACAGGAGCCCCGAGAGGCCCTGGTAGTGCAATGGTTAAGCACTTGGCTGCCAACAAAAAGATGAGTGGTTTGAACCCACCAGTAGCTTCATGGGGGAAAAGACCAGGCAATCTGCTCCAAAAACTGCAGCCTAAGAAAATTTGGAACAAAACTCAAAATCATAAAAAAGACCAGGCTTATTGGTCTGATAGAGACTGGTGAAACCTCTGGCCTCTAGTCACCATTCAGGCCTGGAATTGAACTCACTCCCATGGCTTAAATTTCAGCCAAACAATAGATAGGCTTATAAGATGAACAATTACACCAGGTAGGTGCACTCCTTAGAATAATCAGCCATGGGAGGTCAGGGCAGCATTTGTGCAGGGAGAAAACTCAGAGGGTGGGAATACATAGGAAAGAAGGACACAGAGAAAAGT